AATTTTTGAAACCCACCACTGGTGCAGAGCTATCCAGGACCCCATATGCAGTTCTTTTACACTTCAAGAGTATGATGTCCCAAACCAGACAGAGTTTTTTTCTATATATAGCTAGTCATATTCTTCCTGTGGTTGATGCAAGAAGAATGTTCTTCCTGAATCAACAAGAAGTTTGGACTGTCTCAGTAGCTATTAATACAGTTCCACACAGGAATTATTGAATCAGTCATTTGTACTTCTATAACTGACTAGTTTGGTACAGCAATTAAACAGGACAGTTACAGCCTCCAACGAATAGTTAGGACTGCAGAAGAAATAATCTGCCTTTCATAGAAGACCTGCATATTGCATAAATCAGAATGAGGGCTGAGAAAATAACCACAGACCCTTTACATCCTAGACATACTCCTCCCCTTGGGATGCTGTTATAGGGCATCCTTTGGCATATTTACATGCCAAAACAACTAGACACAGAGACATTTTTTCCCTCATGCCATCACTTTGCTGAACACCTAATCCACACATATAGTCTTATGTCTAAGTAGATTCTTCCATGTTGTATGGCTGTATTATTATTAATAACCCTCTCATCTTCTCTATTACCTCTATTATTGCTATCATTATTATGATTATTAGTATTTAGTTGCTTTGCATGTACATTGACAGCTTTGCACTGGAGACATATTCCTTGTGCCTCTAATCACAGTTGGCCAAATAAAGTATTTTCTCTTCTCTTCTCTTCTCTTCTCTTCTCTTCTCTTCTCTTCTCTTCTCTTCTCTTCTCTTCCCTTCCCTTCCCTTCCCTTCCCTTCTCCCCTCCCCTCTCCTCTCCTCTCCTCCCCTCCCCTCCCCTCCCATTCCATCCCATCCCATCCCATCCCATCCCACCCCATTCCATTCCATTCTATTCTGTCAAGCTCAAGAAGCTTGAAAAAAAAAGAAGCTTATGTGGTATGTCCCTTTTAGTATATCTTTATAATATTAATTAGTTTTGGGGACCTTATCCTACATTGCACAAGCTTTCTAATGTTATTTCTCAGTGCCTCTTTGACTTCCTTGTTCCTTAGGCTGTATATGAAAGGATTGGTGAGAGGGGGCACAACTGTGTATAACAGAGACGAGAATTTTTCCATCTCTCTATTGACATCATTCTTTGGTAGCATATACACAATCATAAGTGAACCATAAAAAATGGAAACCACAACCAAGTGAGAGGAACACGTAGAAAAAGCCTTCTGCCTTCCAGTGGTAGAAGGAATTTTCAGTACAGCAGCTATGATATATATGTAAGAGATCAGAGTTAGGAGAAAAGGTGGAAGTGTGAATAGGATAGCCACAATAAATCCAATAATTTCTATCAAGCTAGTGTCAGTGCAAGAGAGATTAAGAACTGAGAAGTAGTCACAAAAATAGTGATCCATTTCATTTGAGCTACAAAATGTTAGTTGTAACATGAGATGAAATAATGTCACAATAGTTATAAAACCATTGATCCAAGATGCAGCAACTAATTGGATACAAGTTTGGGCTTGCATAATTGTTGCATAGTGCAGTGGTTTACAGATAGCTAGATATCGGTCATACGACATTGCACAGAGTAAGCAACATTCTGTAGCCTCTAAGGAACCAAAGAGATACCACTGTGTGAAGCAGCTATTAAATGAAATAATGTTGTTTCCAGTAAGAAGAGCAAAAAGCAATCTTGGAAATATATTGGAGCTGTAGAAAACCTCCAAGAAGGAGAGGTTCCCTAGGAAGAAGTACATGGGTGTGTGAAGGTGATGATCAAAGATAACTAGTGCCACAATAAGAGTGTTTCCAGTTACAGATACTCCATAAATTATTAGGAAGATCAGGAAAAGAAGTGTCTGTGCTTTATTGTATTCCCCAAATCCAAGAAGGACAAATTCTGTAATTTTTGTTTGATTTCTGATCATAATGGCAATAAGAACTTCATATTCTGTTTAAAAAAAAGAATTAGGAATGTTATCACAGATAAATTTTCTTTTTTTCAGATAGCTCCCAGAAGTTTATACACATTTTTTTTAAAAAAATTTAATTTATTTTTTTAATTTGATTTATATGCCGCCCTTCTCCGGAGACTCAGGGCGGCTTACAATGTGCTCAGCAATAGCCTTCATCCTTTTGTATATTTATACAAAGTCAGCTTATTGCCCCCACAACGGGGTCCTCAATTTACCTACCTTAGAAAGGATGGAAGGCTGAGTCAACCTTGAGCCTTGGCGAGATTCGAACCTGCAGTAATTGCAGGCAGCTGGTCTTAATAACCAGCTTAATAACTGGGTGCCTTAGACCACTGTACTACCAAGGCTCACATTAAATTAAATACATTGGAACAAGATACAGAATCCTGTGAATGGAAATAGGGAAACTGTCAAACAACCTTTCTTATCCTTATGCTGAGAGGGGACATTTAACATTGGAATGACCATGTGTCCCACCAACACTTTAATTATGTATTTGATTTCTTGTACAGAAAGTTAAACTATTGTGGGAGTTACTATAATGCTGTAATATTCACAATGTATGAAAAAATTCAGTCTTGAACAGGTCATCAAATTTAGATTCAAAATCATCCTGAAAAACAGAAGATATCTTGTCTGAGATAGTAAATTATCAGTTTATTGTTAAAGAATGGTTCAGCTCTATCGCTTCAGGAACTGCTTTCTTAGGGTTGAGACAGACTGACTGGAAAAAGATTATCCAGCTCATTGGTGTGTTTAAAGAATTTGGGTTCCTTGCTCCTAATCTAACACCATAATAACTAGACGATACTAGTTTTTACATTAAAAAAAATCATTTTTGATAAGCATTTAAATATATGTTAGTATCTTTTTATCTATTTATGAATAATAGATTTAGATTTCTAAAGCCACTTAATCACCTTTTTTTAAAAAAAATCTTAATTTCTTATTAGTATTCAAGACTGATTTCTGAAAAGAACTTCAACACCATTTTATCCATCCATAAAGACACATACTGATGTACTGTAAATATCTTTTATGTTAGAATTTTTAATTCTTTTATTTACAATGCAAATTAGATAAGAGCGTCTTGTATATTCAGAGTTGTATATTCAGAAGATGATAGATTACAATAAATCTTCTGACTAGTTCAATGTTTCTAGCTATTACACATTTTCAAACCACCAGATATTCCTCTATTCCCCCCTCCCTCTCTGCCTCTCTCTCACTCTTTCTCTCCCTCCCTCTTTCTCTCTCTCCCCCTCTTCTCCTCTCCCTTTTCCTCTATATGCCTGTGGAGATTCTCAGTCATCCAGATCATAATTGTCTCAAAAGTACTTTTTTCAAAAGGCATCTGGACTATCTATTCTTCTGTTCCCCACTTCACAACTGTCAAATCTTCTTCAATGAGAAGTGAAATGTTTTGTTCTTTTTCCTAGTCCAGTTTTTTTTTTAAAACAACTTTGAGACTCTCTCTGTATATATAGCATCTATCTCTTTCCTCACTGAATGGAAAAGTTGTATGTAGATGAAATTTTATATTTTTCTCCATCTTTCCATAAAAAATTGTTCAAATAATAATATTACCTTTCCACGTTTATAATACAGATTTACTTAAGATATTTTTTTAATCTATCAGAAACACATTAGGAACAAATAGTTATATAATGAGGAGTAGAAATCCATTTGCACAATTTAAAAGTTCTTACCTTTCTGCAGCTTAATAAATGTTTGTCTTTATTAAGTGTGTGTGTTTTCTTTTTCACAGGCAGAAGAAAATATAGATTCTTCAAGACAATGCAAGTTATTTCTTTCTTAATGACAAAAAATTATGTCACACACCATTGTACACAAATGTGTAAGAACATTGATATTCAGCACAGAACACATTTTTTACTTTACATCCAACAGATTGACTGCCGTGGTCTAGGAAGAGGGCTTCCTCTACCATTTTCCCCACCTTGTCAAATATCCTCCCTCCAGGTGGGCTCCTTCCATCTTGGACTTTCAATGGAGTTGACAGCATTGACAGTCCTCTTTCTACCTTTTAAATTTAACTTATTCTATTGTTCTTTCATGTAGCTCTTTTTATTGATATGTCATATTTTATATGGTTTTTAGACATTTATGTGTTTGTCTGTACACTGTTCAGAGTCACCTTGTGAGTGAGATAGGAAATAAATAAATAAATAAATAAATAAATAAATAAATAAATAAATAAATAAATAAATGTCAACTTCTCTTACCTAGGGTTCATCTGTACTGTACATTTAGGAACACCTTTTGAAAACCATAGACTTAGTCACAAGAATAGTATATTTATGTACATAATTTCATAGTAATATGCTATTAATAAAGTGTGAATAGTTCCCGCAAGGGAATATCTGAAAATAGAATCCTCCCAGCATGCTTTTTTTTATGAAGAGGCAGAAATAATAAATAAGTCAATCACTGGGGAAATAATCTCATAAATGCACATATCTTAATCATTGTTTTGATATTACTACTGTCCAGAGATAAAATAGGGATGGCTTCTCTCTGTGCAGAATGGGAAGTTTTCTGACATGAATGTGGTATTAAGATTTATTGACCACATAGGTAGATTTTCTCTATGACTATCTGTCCCCAGCTGATCCTTCCAATCTTACAACCCTTTACCGAGTCAATACATTCACCTTGATATATTCTTGTCTTTCCTTCCACTTTTTACCAGCATTAATGTATTCTCTAGAAAACTAAGCCTTGCACAATGTATCTAAAGTAGCTTGGTCATTTGGGCCTCAAAGGAGAACTTTGGTTTGATAATTTGGTTTGGTGATGCATAGGTTTGTTTTATTGACTGTCCATGGTATTATCAGGAATTTTCTTCAGCACCAAATTTCAGGATCAACACTCTTTCTGTCCCACTTCTTCAATGTTCAGCTTTTGCCTCAGTCACAAGCACCATATCTTTCTTACAAATTCTCATGATTTCAAATTGAATTTAATCATAAATATAATCAATTACCTCTTCCTATGCACAAGTGTGATTAAAGCAAATTTTAGATGATCATATTAAGTCCCTTGGGAGTTGAGTGGCATAGAAATGTGATAAATAAAATAAAATAAAATAAAATAAAATAAAATAAAATAATTGAAGTCTAATTGATCTTATCTCATAACTGATACCATTGTAGCCAAATATTTTTTTTGTAGATATAAGAGCCACTTTTTTGTTTTGTTTGACTTCTTTGTTTTTCATTTTCCAAGTGGTAAATATATGTATCAATATTCCATTACTGGAAGCAACAATTTCCTTTCTGGACTAATTAATTCATGCCAATGTTTTCCCATCAAGTTTTAAAATTTTAATTTCCAGCAACTGTCGATATTTCTCAGTATGTTTATTTGGATATTCAGTTGTGTTTACTTTCAGCTCAAGGTTTATGTCATAATTTTAAACCACTCCCATTCATCTCAACCTATAGAATTTAAAAACTAAAAACAAAAGATTTTGATGCTTCAATATTTTCCCTTGAGATCTCCTATTATACATATTTTTAGTAGAATTTAGCTTCTAAATATCTAGGGATATCTCCTTAATTTGTCAGATAAACCATGTTCAATGTGAGATGCCATCCATTAGTTACTTAATAACTTGTATACTAAATTCAAAGGAGGAAAGGCTGGACTTTCAATGAAGACACAATAAAGACAAAGGATCTGCAACATTCAGAGTTCTGGATCTATTTTTCATCATTAAAGTTACAATATATTAACATATAATGAAAGTATTAATTTCTGCTTCAGAAACATTGCAAGTAAGATTTATGCTTATGTACTAATTATTTCAATAAATTCAGAAAGAAAGAAAAAACATCTTGCAAATCAATAACATTAGATAGGGGCTAAGGTAAGCCCCTATCATTTTATCATTAATATATATGATTTGCATGCTGTTCATTGTTGAAACACATTTAATTGATTATCATAATAACAAAAGTAACCTACTTTTCTAACAAAATAATTCATATTAGGATAAATAATGAACTATCTATTGATTGAAATTTGAATTATTAAATATCTGTAGGTTATCTTTGTTTTGCCTTTCTTTTCCCCTTCCCTTTTTGTTTTTTGCTACTGGTTCTTGAATATTCTTAAAACTCTAGTATTCAAGCACGATATATATACGTGTGTGTTTTATACACACACACACACACACACACACACACACACACATATGTGTGTGTGTGTGTGTGTGTGTGTGTATAAAACAAAATATATATAGTATAACAAAAGAAGAAAAGAATGGAACTTGGCTGGATGCAGAATTGATGTTGCTGTTATTTTTCTCCCTTGCAGGGATGAAAGTGTCAGCCCATCTTTCCTGAATATTAATAAATACCGATCAATATTCTAATTGTTTTGCAAAGATGATTATCTGATTTGTTGGAAAGTAGTTTGTATGACTATTCTATCTATTTTACAATTCTGCATTCTATCAAAATTGATTTGTTTGGTCATCTTGCAACAGGGGTAGCAAGGAATGGGAAACTAGCAGTTCAGTATATGCTAAATTTCCATGAATGTAGCTATTAACAAAAATAAGGCTAAACCTGAAACTAAAAAAAAAAAAAAAGTTTGAGAGAAAAGAATTGTACTTACTAGATCATAATCAACATAATACTCATAGTCCTAATCATTTTAAAACACAATTGTAATTATTTTATCAACTATAGAACTTTAAATGATTAAAATGTCAACTCTGATTGTACTTAAATATGATTATAATCATAACCATCTCCCAAAGAGATAATTTTAATAGGAATTTCATGGCTCCCAAATCAGCAATGTTTATATTGTGATTTAGATTTACCAGCTAAGCATGGCTCATCAAACTACTAAACCATGGTCTTTATTTTCTCAGAGCAAAGGTAATTAAATTAATTATTCAGACTATGATATGAAATTTGGAGATATATTCTGTGTATGAAATACAATGAAAAATTGTATCTCATACACAGGCTGTACCCATGTTTACTGTACTGTACTGTACCCATTGGTAATTGTTTCCTACTACAATATCACATCAGTCTTTTACCTTAATAGACGCATGGAAAAGAAGGTTAAGAATGGATGAGGAACAAAGAGAGAACCAAACTCATGTGACTATATTTATTCTCCTGGGATTCAAAAATTTGGAACATCTGTGGATTCTTCCATTTCTGGCATTCCTCTTTACATATATTTTCACAATGACAGGGAATCTTCTCATTTTTGTTCTTGTTGTAATTGACCAACATCTTCATACACCCATGTACTTCTTCCTTTGTAACTTGGCATGCCTAGAGATCTGCTACAGCTCAACTCTCAGTCCCATACTGTTGACTACACTTTTGATGAATGGAAAGGCAATTTCATTCAGCAACTGCTTTCTGCAATTATTTTTTTTCGGCTACTGTTTGGGGACAGAATGTTATTTGCTATCTGTGATGTCTTATGACAGGTACTTAGCCATATGTAAACCACTGCATTATGCAATAGTTATGAATACCAGGAAATGTGTCCAGTTAGCAGCAGTATCTTGGACAAATGGCTTCATAGGCATTTCTGTAATAATGACTGCAATGCTGCAGTTAAAATACTGTGGTCCTAATGAAATTGATCATTACTTTTGTGATTCTGTGCCACTTAAAGAACTTTCTTGCAGTGACACATATTTGGTGGAACATCTAAATTTAATCTTGCTATTTATTTACACTATGCCTCCATTTCTAATAACCTTGGCATCCTATATATATATTATAGCAGCCATCCTAAGAATTCGATCCACTATTGGAAGGAAAAAGGCCTTCTCTACCTGTTCTTCCCACCTCAGTGTTGTTTCCATTTATTATGGCTCTTTAATAACAGTGTATCTTTTGCCACCATCCTCTTCAATGAACAAAGTTTGTTCTCTTTTGTACACAATTCTTCCACCATTGGTTAACCCTCTTATATATAGCCTTAGAAACAAAGATGTAAAGAAAGCTTTGAGAAGAGTAAAAAATAAAGTGGCAATTTTCAATCTAATCCAAAATACATTGAGAGTCCTGGTTAATGTTAAAAACAAATGAAAGAAAGGGAGGGAGGGAGGGAGGGAGGGAGGGAGGGAGGAAGGAAGGAAGGAAGGAAGGAAGGAAGGAAGGAAGGAAGGAAGGTCAAGTCCTCTTTTATTGTAAATAAAAATGTTTTTAGAAAAAGACTTTTCACTTCTTTTTTTGGGGAAAGAAATTTTAATACCATATGTCTATGTCTATACATGAATACACATGCTTTAAGTAAGCAAAACTTATTTTAGGACATACAGTGCACTTTCTGAACATCTCAAAATGTGATTTAACCAAACCATCAATTTTCTAAAATTATTGTCAGAATTGGCTTTGATAATAGGATTGGAACTCAACTTTCTCTGGTCTTGCCGTTGAGTGAAGAAATGGAGTTTATATCATGCCAAACTTTTACTACAATTGTATTATTAATAAATCTATTATTTCACTATTAACAGCCCTGTTTATAAAAGAATGAATTCACAACGCTGATTGAGCAGGCATTTCCCTTTTCTTCCTGAGCTCCAGATCTTTGGTGCTGCCTGGAAATAAAGTTTAAAACAGCCTGCTTTCATTTTAATTGTGTCCCTTAAAATGGACAGAAATCAGATCTGTAGGTAGGTGTGGCAAGAAATAAACTGAGCTAGAAAAACCAGTAAAGAAATAAGGAGAAAACCTTCATTACAAAGCTAAGCAGCAAGCAATTCAATTGCTTGCTTCAATTCAATTGCTTGAAGGCCCTGGAGGGTGGAAGAAACTGCAAATATTGGAACTGCAAGATCCATGAGAGATGGAAATAAAAAAAAAAAACAGGATGGAAAAAAGATTCTGGACCAGAATCTGCAAAAAGAGTAACTAAAACAAACCAGATACAGAATTCCCAAAATTAATTCCAGGAAGACAAGAATGTGAATGCTGAAGTGATTGCCCCTTTTGCAAGTCTACAGAGAAATGAAGATGATTTTCAAGTGCAAAAGAGTTGAGTTTGGCTATAAGAGCTGAAAGCCTGAGGAAATACCAAAGACTCAAAGAACTAGGAAATAGTTAAGATAAGAAAATATATTGCTACAAACATAGAGGTATCAACATAAACATAGAGGTCGACCTGTAAAGATTAAATTATAAAGGTAAAGGTTTCCCTGTCAGTTGTGTGTGACTCTACAGTGTGGTGCGCATCTCTGTTTCTTAGATGAGGGAGCCAGTATTGTCTGTGGTCATGTAGCCAGCATGAATATATACTAAAGGCACACAGAATGCTGTTAACTTCCCACCAAAGTAGTACCTATTTATCTATTCACATTTGCATGCTTTCAAACGGCTAGGTGGGCAGGAACTGGGGCAAGAATGGGAGCTCATTCCATTGTTGGCACTTGGGTCTCAAACACGGAGTGTCAGCTTTCCAGCTGACAAGCTCAGTGTCTTTAACCGCTGAGCCATCATGCCCCCTAAATTATTAAAAAATAATTGTAAATTTATACTAATAGAAAGGTTCTACAGTAGGATAGGCGGGAAGTACTTCAGGAGGAAAATAGAAACAATGATAGAATTAGCATTAAAATGACAAGCTTAATTTTTGCATAACAAAATGGCCTTTGTGGGACAAAAAAACACAAATTAAAGTTTGTTTTGGTGATCTGTGCCTAATTAAAATGAAATAAATATAACACTGTTGTATTCTTATTATTAATTGGTATATATATATATTTATATAGCTTTTAATTGTAAGCATTTTTGAGAATTAGAGTTTGATTATACATGCATTACCCTTGAGGTAAGATGGGCTCCCACCTTCCAATTTTCCATAAGGGCTTGAAGACCTGACTCTGCCAGGTGGCTTGGGGCCCCAATGGGGAAGCATCACATTGGTTGGTGAATTAAGAGGCAATCCCATGCCGCCTGTGCATCCTGCTGTTTCCCTTCCATTTTTCAATTGTAATTTTATCTTTGAGTGTAATTCTGTTTTTATTGTTTTAGAGATATTGGTAGTTATCTTTTATTATGCTTTAAATGCTTTAAGCTGCTCAGTAACTTCGAAATGAGATAGACAGCAAATCAAATCAAATAAAGCAAAGATTCACCTAGTTATTCACATTGTGCTTTGTTTATAACCTTTAACTTGTCCTATTAAACAAGATTATAATAACAAGATTGATATTATAATATTGATGATAATTTATGTTTCAGCATCACATTTTGGTTTTCATGCATTTTATTGATGTCTTTGGACAAATTGTGGGATATCTGCTAACTGAACTAAATCAGAATTGATTCCTTAAGTTAAAAATGGTTTATATATATTTTTTAAAATGTATCCTGAATATTTTAGTTTTTTAGATACTTTTACTTCAAATAATAAATAATTGCACTGTATTTTAACCTTATTTTTCAAAATAAAATAAAAAAAATATTCAAGAATGATTGAATTGCAAGATACATTACATACATTTCATTGTCTGGAAAATCAGAATTTTAACCATTCTAAAAAATATTATTTGCATTGAGTTATGCAAATTTTAACCATGTCTTGTGGAATGGGAAATGTGCATAAACAGGATTTGCTTAGAATACAAAAGAAAAGTCATAACAACATGGATAAATATGATAACATGATTGAAAACAAAGCAGATCAAGGAATTGAAGAGGAAAATTTTGTTGCAGCTTTATATCAAGAAATAAAAATTGTTCCCCATCCATTCATTTTTAATGGTTGATTGATCTGATCTAAAGCAATTTACATGTATTTATTCATAGATCTGTTTTCTTTAATTTTATTATTATTATTATTATTATTATTATTATTATTATTATTATTATTATTATTATTAATTTAATTTGTATACCGCCCTTCTCCCAGAAGGGACTCAGGGCGGTGAACAGCCAAAATTAAAAAACAGACAAATGCAAAAGTTAAGATAATTAAAAGAATTAAATCATTGGCTACCCAATTTAAAATCCAAATCCATAAAATTTAAAATCCCAATTAAAAACCATTTAGGCTAGGCCGGCTTGATGAAATAAAAACGTCTTCAGGGCTTTACGGAAGGTCCGGAGGTCCGGGATCAATCGTATTCCAGGAGGCAGCTCATTCCACAGGGCGGGTGCCCCCACAGAGAAGGCTCGCCCCCTGGGGGCCGCCAGCCGACATTGTCTGACCGACGGCACCCCGAGGAGGCCCTCTCTGTGAGAGCGTATTGGCCGGTGGGAGGTTATCGGTAGCAGCAGGCGGTCTCGCAAATACCCTGGCCCTAAGCCATGGAGCGCTTTAAAGATGAGAACCAACACCTTAAAGCGCACCCGGAAGACCACCGGGAGCCAATGCAGCTCGCGCAGGAGAGGTGTTACGTCGCTCCCATAATCACGTCGCTCCCATAATCGCCACGTCGCTCCCATAATCACCCGCGCGGCCGCATTCTGCACCAGCTGGAGCCTCCGGGTGCTCCTCAGGGGGAGCCCCATGTAGAGAGCATTACAGTAGTCCAGGCATGACGTAACCAAGGCATGAGTGACTGTGCACAAGGAGTCCCGCTCCAGAAAGGGGCACAACTGGCGTATCAGGCGAACCTGATAAAAAGCCCCCCTGGCCACAGCCGTCATATGATCTTCTAAAGACAGCCGTGTGTCCAGGAGGATGCCCAAGTTGCGAGCCCCCTCTGTGGGGGTCAGTGACTTGCCCCCAATAGCCAGCGATGGCACCAGCTGGCTATACCGGGACGCCAGCATCCACAGCCACTCGGTCTTGGAAGGGTTGAGCCGAAGCCTGTTCCTCCCCATCCAGACCCGCATGGCCTCCAGACACTGGGACATCACTTCGAGGGCATCATTGGGGTGGTCTGGGGTGGAAATGTACAGCTGAGTGTCATCAGCGTACAGATGGCATCGCACCCCAAAACCACAGATGATCTCACCCAGTGGCTTCACATAAATGTTGAACAGGAGCGGCGAGAGGACCGACCCTTGCGGCACCCCGCAAGCAAGGCACCTCGAGGTCGACCTCTGCCCCCCTGCCAACACAGACTGCGACCGGTCAGAGAGATAGGAGGAGAACCACCACAGCACGGTGCCTCCCACCCCCAGTCCCTCCAGCCGGCACAGCATGATACCATGGTCGATGGTATCAAAAGCCGCTGAGAGGTCTAACAGGACCAGAACAGAGGAACAACCCCTGTCCCGAGCCCTCCAGAGATCATCCACCAATGCGACCAATGCCATCTCTGTGCTGTACCCAGGCCTGAAGCCGGACTGGCACGGATCTAGATAGACGGTTTCATCCAGGAACTGTGGGAGCTGTCGCGCAACCACACTCTCCACAACCTTCGCAACAAAGCGAAGGTTGGAGACCGGACGATAGTTTGCCAAAACGGCCGGGTCCAGAGAAGGCTTCTTGAGGAGCCTTAATTTCATATTAAGTTGCAGACATTTTCTGAGGTTCATGAGGAAACCAGGATGTTATTAAGCAATTAGTCATATGCCAATTTTTATAGCTACTCTACTGGAAAGCTGATTTCCCCAAATCAGTAACTTTTAAAAGCAATTCAGTTTTGATTTGCCCTAATGCTGATTTTCCAAAAGTTGCCACAAAGCAATTTTTATCTTTATTATATATTTTATCATTGTATCATTTTTAACTTTTTAGCATTCCAATCTAACCAGCAAAGAAATGAAATGCACCATTGTGCAATACATCATTTTAGATAAATGATTTTATTTCCTTTCAAAAAGTAGATAGTACAGTAAGGTGGAACTATACAATATCTCTAAACAAGACCAATTTTTCAGAAAGAAAAATTCCTCCATCACTGCTCCATTATGTCTCTCCCGAAGCTGCATGCTCGGTGGAAGAGGACAACCATCCCAGATAGAAGGAATGTACCACTTCAGTCAAGGGTATACGATAGCTACATTCCCCTACTAGAACTTCCAGACAACCTGAAGGCATCCATATAAGTTCTTCTTAGATTCATATAATTAGTTTTTTTAGCTTTATTCATTTCTGTATTTAGCAGGCAGCTAATATGTAAAAATGTATCCAATTGTTTTTTAAAATAACTAACTTTGGCTCAATTGTGCTGAGGTACATTCTGTTAAGAGAAGTTTCCTGAGGATGGGTTCCAATATGGGTTCAGAAACTTGGAAGACTAAATGTCTGTTCCCGGGACTGACTCAGATTGGATCCTACAACATTATCAAACCCTAATTCAATAGCATAATCCTGCTGTTATTTTCTCAAAAGATTTGCTCTAATATTACATTTTCTATGTAACAGCCTGGATGGTTTTCTTAAAGATATAGTATATTTCAAATAAACAGTCTACAATTAAAAAAACAAAAACAAAACACACACCCAAGTTGTTAAACCAATTTTCATCTGCTTTTCAAACTCCCCTATTTGGGGAAGATAGATCAGTTGATGGCATGAAGTGGACTGACTGTACACATTTCAGGCTAGATTATAGCACTGAGACAGACTTTGGTTATAGTTGTGAATGACTTGTTGAGGGCTCTCAACCCCATTTAATATATTTTTCTGAACAAAGTCTGGAGGTTGTGAGTAGGATACTGTTTCGCTGGTTCTGTTACAATTGGCAATGTTAGAGTATGAGAGGCTTAGTCCTAAACTAAGTTTCTTAGTAGTTCAGTCTTCCAATTCTTTTTTTAAGATTTACATGAAACTGCTGGGAGAATACATAGTATAGGTCAAGGATAGATAACCCTTTTGCCATTGTGTGCCAGGAGCGGGGAGTTAGAGGGGGTTGCACGCATGCATGCTCATTCCCATAATTCTATGTGCCCCACATCTGTGCATGCACATGTGACTCCCCCGCTACCCCCCCGCTCCTGGCACGCAATGACATGGTGGGCCCGGTAGGCCTGTTTTCTCTCTCCCCAGGTTCCAGAGCCTGGGAGGGCAAAAACGGCCTTCCCCACCCCCATGGAGGCCCTCCGGAAGCTGGATATGGCCCATTTGCCAACTTCTGGTGGGACTGGAAGGCCCATTTTTTGCTCTTCCTCAGGCTCCAGAGCCTTTCTAGGAGGTTGGGTAGGATGAAAATGGCCTTCCCACTCCCCTCGGAGGCCCTCCGGAGGCCTGAAATGCACAGTACACACCAAAAGGAGACTTGGGAAGGTAAGTAGAGCAGTGAGGTGGGGGGGCATCGACTGTGCCACGTAATTTAGATTCACTATAAAGCAGGATTTCCTGTTTTCTAGCAATCTAAAATTGCATGGCACAGCTGATCATCAGAAATACCAGTTCGGAGGAACCGGTAGCTTTTTTTTACTACTGGTTCGCCCGACCGGTAGTTTTTATCACTACTAGTTCCCCCAAACTGGTGCGAACTGGTAGCATTTCACCACTGTTCTGGATATTTGACTTCTGGTGGGTTTGTACTCCTCTGACAAAACTTGTGTGCATACTCCTGTACTGATGTCTTCTGCTCAAGGAACAGCTGTGAAAGATGGGGTCTTTGCACAGATTCATCCTGTACACTAATTTCACCAAGATTCACTCATGATCTAACGATCACTAAATGGATCGTTGGAACACACAGTTCTCCAACTGTTCAGATTTTATAGATGTATATGCCACTGTTGTGTGGACAATTTTGGCTTCCACATTCTTTCCAGTTGTGATCTATGAGACTGATTAAACATAATTCATGATCATGTTTAAAGCCCAGAATGCCAATGAGGTTAGATTATATGCAGGATGGCCTCTCTCAGTTTTTGGCTCACTATCCCATTAGGTTTTACAGAATGGCATAGTCCAGGCTCTTCCACCAATGTTGCCCTCTAATGGGTAGCATACCTCCTTGATTGCTGTCTCTGCCTTTAGAATACCATTTCCTCTGACATCCAGAAGGTCCCTACCATCTTAGCCTTCTAAAAAGCTTTGAAAAAGTAGCTTTTCCCACAGCATTGGGGGTTGTGTGAGGCCAGAAATGTTCTCTATGGATATTTGAAGATGCACTGTGGTTTGGAGTGGTAGGGTTAACTGATATAGTTACAAATCCTTTGGATTAATCAAAGTTTGAACTCTATAATTTTCTAATCTATATCAAAGTTCTGCAGCCATTTACAGGCCAAAGATACATTTGGATTTGGGTGGCATATCATGTAGTAAAATAATTTAAAAGTTGTAAGCTCCCAGAGTTGTTGGATACAAGATGGGTAGCAAATAAATTTCATAAATACATAAACAAACAAATAAATCAATTTAATTCAATAAATACACTCCATGGACAATCATGCACCATTTAAGCAAAATCAACAATTACAAACTAATGTTCATGTTAATTTGGAAGCTGTAAGAGTCTATCAGGTTTTGGATCATTGATTTACACATTGTCTATCCAACAACTTTCCTGAAACTTTTCTCAGAGCATCTTTAACATCCTTATTTCTCAGGCTATATATGAGAGGATTGAGTAAAGGGGGCAGGACTGTATACAAGAGAGAAAATATTTTATTGAAATCTCTCACTTCCTCTGTTTTTGGTACCAGATACACAATCACAATGGCTCCATAGAAAATAGAAACAACAATCAAGTGAGAGGAGCAAGTAGAAAAAGCTTTTTGTCTGCCTGTGGTAGATGGGATTTTCAGGATGGCAACAATAATATAGATATAGGAGATCAAAGTTGAAACAAAAGGAGGGAAAGTGATGATCAAAACCACAATGAAAGTAACAAGCTTTACCAGAAATGTGTCACTGCAGGAGAGTTTCAGCAGTGGGAGAGCCTCACAAAAGAAATGGTCAATTTCATTTTGCCCACAGAACTGCAATTGTAAAATCAAGCCCAAATACAGGGTGATGGCTAAAATACTATTGAGCCATGAGCCTGCTGCTAGCTGTATGCAGACCTTGCTATTCATAAGAGTTGAATAATGTAAAGGCTTGCAAACAGCTAAGAAACGGTCATAAGACATTACAGAGAGGAGATAACATTCTGTACAAACCAGGAATGAACCAAAATAAAACTGTGTCATGCATCCTTTTACAGAGATGGTGTTGTCTCCAGTCATGAGAGCAGCTATCATCCTGGGAAGAATGGCTGAACTATATATCATCTCCAAGCAGGCTAAATTTCCTAAAAAGAAGTACATTGGCGTGTGCAGGGATTGAGCAAGCACAATTACAATAACAGTAAGGAAATTGGCCACCATAGTTGAAATGAAGATCACTAAAAACACAAGGAACAGAAAGATCTGCAGATGATGGATCTCCCCAAATCCCAAAAGTATAAATTCAGTAATTTCAGTTTGGTTCCTCTGCAGTGCATTCATTATAATGTTTATAATATAATATAGTACAAGGAGAATATTTGAAATAACTGATATAATATTGCATACATTACTCAGAAAATACAATAATAGTATATATGTGTGCTGATCAGTCACTATCATAAAAGAGACAGGGTTGCTGGAATTTAGAATTATAGTGTCAATCTCTAAAAATATTTGGAACAGAAATAAATGCAGAAGATGAAATTTCCAAAATCTCAAGCTGAAAAATTCTAGAGTTATAATTTGTCTCTTGTGTACTAAGTTTCTCATAATAAATATTTGAGGTTATGATTTAAACAATTTGAACATGAAATATATAAATTCTAGCATGCATATACAATTTCATATAGAATTTCTAATTATAGATTACATGAATTTTTAGTACAATTTTCTCAAAACTGGAAATGCATAGATGAGCTCCATATAAAATCCTATAATCCTGATCTGGCATGAAGAACAGCTTGATAGGCATCTGTATTCAACTCTCTTGGGAAAACCTGATTTAACTAAACACACATATATGTAAATATAATTAATATTTTGAAGACTCTGAAAAAGAAATCCCTATTTAATAAAACACATGTTTTCAGTCACACATATGCTCATAGTTAACTTATTGCAAATATATCTGAATAAAACATGCATATAAAAACAACAGGGTATTGATCTAGCTGTGCACTATAAAGCATGAGCAATTTAAATATATAGCTTAAATTCTTTCACAACATGAATTGAATCCAGTTGTCTTTCCAAATCTGTTAATCTAGAAACTAAAACTAAATTCATAGAAATAGACTTTTCCATTCTCTTTCAGCTCCTATCTGTTCCTGCCCCCCCACCCCCATGTTGTGCAAAATCTAAAATATTGTGATTGTATGCAGAACTTCCTCTTCCCTTTCAGTTATTAGAATTTTAGTTTGTTCTATGTTTCCCTTTGGCTTTTTTAAAAACTCCATTTCTTCATTATATAGGAACACTGAACTTGTTATAATATACACATCATTAAAATATGATATTTTCCAGTTTCAGTTCTGCAAGTAAATCAACTTCTTTCACAGCTAATATTTAGTTTAAGATGTAATAGCAAAGTTATTATGTAGACTTATTGAACATTAGGCCTGCATATTTATTTCACTTATATATTCTAAAAAGTAATACATTCGGAATAGAATTATCCTTTTAAAGGCAAAAGTGTATTCACATACACATACATTAATCATTTAACTCCTTTATCCTGTTTGCTTATATTATCTTACAGCAATGCATTTAAAAATGCATATTTTTTAAGAAATATATCTCTTTAATAAGCAAAGGTGACCCCTAAGAGGATAGAAAGAGTAGTTACGGCTTATACTGAAAACATAAATTATGTGCATAAAAATTAAGATGATAATTTCAGTTAAAATTTATGTTCTTTTTTAAAAATATATTTTCTTTTTATCTTTTTAGTTTTTTTGAATACTTTTTTTTACTATGTTGAAAAATTCTAAAGTATATGAAAGAGATAGAGATAGTAGGAAAAGAAATGTATATACATAAAATTTGTGCCAAATTTAAGCAACTCTATCCATACCCATGTCTAGAAAAATGCTATAAAAATAACTTTAATTATATTATATTAATGGGTAAGATATAAGAAGTATAAAACATCTACATACCAAACAGCAAATTTGGTTACAATTTTGCTGTTACAAATTACAATTAAAAATTGACAAAATTCCCAGATTCAAAAATGCATAATTATGGATTATGTTTGGTAGTGAAGTAAATGTTAAGTAAATTTATAAATTTACATTTTAAATTTACATTTATAAAGTAAAAGTAAAGTAAATTTATTGACACATCAATAAATATCTTAAACAACATAAATTATGCCTTTCTCTTTTTACAATAATGAGTAATCTTTGATTAAGTTAGAGATAAAGTAAACAGAATTAACTTCCAGATTCTTGTATTGCTGACTACAATCCATTCCTTCATGAAAAAGAAATCTAAACAAATAATAAATTTCATTAATTTACTTAGGTGTGTCAAGTAAAGAATCAGAATCAACATTATAATGTAGACCATAGGTTTTCCAGCTAAATCAAAATCATACTCAGAAACCTTAATGAAAAGTATTATGTGATACAGATATATATATTAGGATACAATGACTTACTACATCTTATTTATCCAACAATAACTGATCTTCTGTTATATTCCACTTAGCTTATATGAGAACAGAGGTTTTATTTTTTAAAAAATGCCCCTTTGGATATTATTAAAAAAAAGTCTCAGGAGATTTTGAGTACTGACTGAAGTGGGAATGCTCAACTCTGTTGAAATTCAGATTACATTTGAAGTAATGTGATAGATTGTGGTAATTTCCAAAATCCTCACTCAATATGTCATTTTGTTTTTAACCTATTCTGTTATTAGATTATTGATTGGAAACAATAGGAGAGAAATTGACTTACTATTCTGCATACAGGATTTCTGAATTTCTGATTTCGAGTTCTTGGTACAAAAATAGGATGCCAGAGTAGATGTATCACTTCTCTGATTTATTTAGTATTTGCTCATTTTCATGTTACTAAGATTTAATATCATTGTTCAGAAAGCAAAAAAAATATAAATGGAGTTCATGATTTCCTCAGAGCTATTGTTGAATGAAATCTTTGTCATGGTTAAATCATTTCCTCACCCAAATGAAATTGCAGTTCAGGAATCTTGCAATATCTACTTTTATAGCATAGCTTCCTGCAGACAAAGAATAGGGGAGATGACTAGCAAGTAATAAAAAGGAAACACTGGACTCTTCAAAGGTCTGCTGAAGGTTTTTATCTTCAATCCCTTGAGCTTTCAAGGACAGAGTTTGAAAATAATAAAAAATAAATAAAATACCTAACCAAGGAAGTAACGTCATGATCACCATGATCGCCAATGTTCGGTGACGGATATGGCACAAGAAGAAGCCAAGGAAATAAACTATTCTGACAGATTATTCTGACAAATTATTCTTACTAATTTTTCCAGCTATGGATATTTGCAGTACTTAATTTGTGAAAAATAGAGTACTTAAGTAGTGCCTTTGTCTGGCCAGTACAATGTTTCAAATTCAAGCAACTCAGAAGAATGGCACAGTTCATTTGCAAAGGCTTCGTAACAGTAGTTTAATAGTTTTTTAGTCTTTAATTTTCTCGAACACCACATCCTTATCCTCTTGCTTTTGTTAGAGTAGATCTTATTCGCACATGTTGGAAATGATCCTTCTCTCCTGAGGTGACTTTCTTATGAGGAGGCTGCAATCCTTTACTAAACTTTTCTTGTGTTCTATCATTAATGCACTACAGAAAAGTTCAAATATGATAATTAAAGCAATTGCTTACATTTTAATAAGAGAATCCTGACATGTGGACTCTGATAAAATAAAGGAAATGCTCTCTAGTTTGTGTCACTTGTGGACTGGATCCATATTGCACTTGTGAATGCAAGCTGGTCAATGATTCATTGCAGAAGAGAATCTTCTGAGAGCAGGAAGTTGGGATATTGACTTTACTTTACTTTAATTAGTGGAGATGTACAGCTGAGTGTCGTCAGTGTACTGATGGAACTTCACCCCGAAACCACAGATGATCTTACCCAGTGACTTCATATAATTGTTGAACAGAAGGGGCAAGAGAACCGACCTTGTGGCACCCCACAAACAAGGCGCCTCGAGGTCGACCTCTGTCCCCCTGCCAACACAAGCTGTGTATGGTCGGAGAGGAAGGAGGAGAACCACTGCAACACAGTGCCCCCCACTCCCAACCCCTCCAATCATCACAGCATGATACCATGATCAATGGTATCAAAAGCTGCTGAGAGGTCTAATAGGACCAGAAGAGAGGAGCAACCCCAGTCCCAAGCCTGCCAGAGATCATCTCTCGGCTTCCAATAGACCGTGCTCACTAGACCACAGAAACCACACGTAGACAGCTCGACAAGGTATCTCGGTTTAATGGTGACAACGGCTCTTTCACGAAGCCGGACTGCTAAGCAAAACTAAGACGCGGCTAGTGTCTAGCAAATGCAGTGGTTTTTTATAGTGCCGGGTTAATTCCAGCCAGCTGGGTGCATTTGAATGTCCCGCGGTTCTCTTCCGGGCGCGCGGTAGTGACATCATCATTGCCGGTCCCGTGGCAGCAATGCCGATCGCTCATTGTTCGTCGTCCTCCCCCAGGTTTCCCTCGTGCACCCACATAACTCCCCGTGCTCCGTATACACCTAGCCGCAATCCCTAGTCCCATCACCAACACCCCGTGCCCCTCGACCCCCCATAAACCCCCCTGGGTAGCTGCCGCCTCCATGGCGTTCGGGCAAGGTGTCGAGTGCTGTTTGACGCTCAACAGGCGGCTCCCCCTACCAGGCATCCGTCTACAAGAGAGGAAAAACAAACACAGATTAACGCCTACACTGTGGCTTTGGTTGGGGTTTGTGGGGATGGTGTCTATGGAACCGTTTTAATAAACGCGGAGCATTTATATCGTGTAGTGGGACCCATGACGCTTCGGTATCGGGATACCCCGTCCACCTAACCAAGTATTGTAGATGACCCCTATGGTATCGGGAATCGATGATGTCGCTGGCTTCGTAATGTGATCCCCTTACAGGCCCTGGGGTTTCTTGTGGGACTTTGAGTGTACTGACGGGTTTCAATAAACTAGAATGAAATACTGGGTGGATTTTTCCAAGCAAAGGTGGTAGTTTCAACATGACCGTTACCGGATTTATGATTTTCGTTATAGGGAAAGGGCCTATGTATTTGGGACCTAGTTTGCGGCTCGGTATTCGTAGTCACAGATACTTGGTTGAAAGGTATACTTGGTCTCCCGGTTTGAATGGAGGGCAGGTAGATCGTTTTTTGTTTGCTTAACTCTTGTATTCTTTTGTTGTCTTGTCTAGAGCTTCCTTTACCTGGGACCATAGTTTTCGTATCTTGTGGGCCCAGTCATGAGGGGTAGTGGTCACCGGGGTGTGGGGATCTAACTCAGGGATGGCCGTAAATTCCCGTCCCATCACAACCTGGAATGGGGTGTATCCTGTACTACGGTGTACCGAGTTGTTATAGGCCGTTTCAGCAAAGAGCAACAGGTCCACCCAGTCCTTTTATTGATATGATACATATGAGCACAAATACCACTCTATCATGGCATTAGCTCGTTCTACGGCTCCGTTCGTACTGGGATGATATGCTGAGCTTAGGCCTTGGGTGGCTCCTATTTCATTGAGAAACCCTTTCCAGAACCGAGCTGTGAATTGCACCCCTCTATCTGATATGATTTGCTTAGGCACCCCGTGTAGGCGATATATATGTTGTAGGAGCAGTTTTAC